AGCGGCCGAGAAGTACCAGGAGGCCGTCATCTGCCTGAGGAACCTGCAGGCCAAGGTGAGCGGTGCCCACCGACCAACCTGGGGATGCCATGAGTGTCCCCTGCCTTCCCCAGGGGGCCAGACTCTGCCCCACTCCACATCTCCTCGGCAAATTGGGGTCCTGTCCGTCTGCGTCCTCCTCACCTCCGTGTTGGGGCAGGAGAAGCCGTGGGAGGAGGCCTGGCTGAAGCTGGAGAGCCTGGTCACGCCGCTGGTGCTCAACTACTGCCAGTGCCAGCTGGAGCTGGGCGAGTACTACGAGGTGCTGGAGCACACCACGGAGCTGCTGCAGAAGCACCACGGTACCGTGCCCACCACGCTGCTCCCACCACGGCCCATGGGTGCTCTGGTTCCCGCTGCTCATGGTGAAGCTGGTGGCCCCTTCCCCATGATGGTGCTGGTGGCCCCTTCCCCATGTTGGTCCTGCTGTCCCTATTCCCACCGCCCATGGTGGCACCTCTGGCTCCCTTCCCTTGCATGTGAAGGTGCCACATCTCCAATCCCCTTGCCCTCACCATGCTGATGTCCCCATCCTTCTGCTCATGATGGTACCAGTGTCCACAACCCACAATGGTGCCAGTGTCCCAGGGCCCCTGCCAAGGGTGGTGTTGGTGTCCCCGTCCCCCAACCCACAGCAGCACCTGTGTCCCTGCCCATGATGGTGCCCATTCTCTATGTCCCCGGGGTGGCTCCTGGCCCCGCTCCGGGACACAAGCGCGGGCTGCGCTCCCGTCGCAGGCAACGCCAAGGCCTATTTCAAGCGGGCGAAGGCGCACGCGGCCGTGTGGAACGAGCGGGAGGCGCGCGAGGACTTCGCGCGCGCGGCCCACCTGGCCCCCGCCATGGCGGCCGCCGTGAAGAAGGAGCTGAAGCTGCTGGGCGAGAGGATGCGCAAGAAGCACGTGGAGGAGCGCAAGCGCTACCGGGGGCTCTTCCAGGCGCCCGGGACCACAGAGACGGCGCCCGTGGGGGCTGTGGCATCAGAGCAGCCAGCCGGGGCCGATGGAGCGGAGCTGGGGAGCCCCAGGCAGCCAGGAGCAGCGCTGGGAGGCAACATGGAGCGAGGAGAGGCAGCAGGGAGGAATGGGATGGGGATGGGGATAGGGGCAGGCGTTAACGGAGGTGACAGCGGGATGGGGATGGGGCAGGAGGACAGTGCGGCCACGGGCCTGGGAAAGGGGGACGGGGATCGAGGAGGGCAGGAGGCAGCCGGGCTCGGAGGAGCGGTGGAGGCTGCTGAAATCAGAGAGGCACCGGAGGAGGCCAAGTTCGGAGGGGCTCCGCAGGCAGCCAGGCTTGGAGAGGCTCTGGAGGAGGAAGGGCTCAGGGGAACTCCAGCAGAGGCTGGGCCTGGAGAGGCTCAGGAGGAAGCTGGGCTCAGAAGGGCTCCAGAGGAAGGGCTCAGGGGAGCTCTAGAAGACGCCAAGCTTGGAGAGTCTCAGGAGGAGGCTGGGAAGGGAGAGGCTCAGGAGGAGGCTGGGCTCGGAGGTGCTCGGGAGGAGGAAGGGCTCAAGGGAACTCCAGTGGAGGCCGGGCTTGGAGAGGCTCAGGAGGATGCTGGGTTAGGAGAGGCACAGGAGGCTGCACTCAGAGATGCTCAGGAGGAGGACGGGCTCAAGGGAACTCCAGCGGAGGCCGGGCTTGGAGAGGCTCAGGAGCAGGCTGGGCTCAGGAGGGGGCTGGAGGAGGAAAGGCTCAAGGGACCTCCAGTGGGGGCTGGTTTCAGAAAGGTTCTGCAGGAGGCCGGGCTCAGAGAAGCAGCAGGGGAGGCCGGGCTCAGGGGGGTGCCCGAGGGGCCTGGGCTGGGACGAGCATTGGCAGAGGCCGGGTTCGGAGCGGCACCAGCGCAGGGAGCCCCCAGAGTCGAGCAAGGCACCGTGGGGGCAGCCCCTGGCCAAGCCCCCGGGCCCGGCTCCCCCCGCGCAGACGGAGGCTGCCCCAAGGGTTCCCTGGAGCCAGGGGCAGAGCCTGGCCCTGGGGGGCTGGATGCAGGGAGCGTCACAGGAGGAGGTGGCGAAGGGGAAACCCCTCCAGAACCGCTGGCTGGTGCTACCGGGATGTCCCTGCGGCCCGAGGAGACGCTCCAGGCTGGGCAGGTGGAAGATCCTTGTCCTGAAGCAGCTGGGGAAGGGGCCAAGGAAGAAGAGGCCCTCACGGGCAGCGCTGGGGACTCAGGGCCAGCACATGGCCATGAGCAGGGGCAGGACCCCAGCCCCAGCGCCCCGCAGAGCTTCTCTGGTTGAGAAATAAAAGCTCTTTGGTGGCAGCACATGTTGGCTCTGTCCCTGCACGCGCCTGGAGCTCCAGCCTGTCCCTGGAGGCCGCACATGGCCTGGGGCCCCTCAGGGCAGTGGGGGCTGCCATGGCCCCAGCTTTGCCCCCCGGGCGAGCGCTGGGCCCCGTGTCCTGCCGCAGCCCGGAGCTGCGGGAGCTGCAGTAGGGATAACAACACCAAGGGAGCCGGGGAAGGGTGCGGAGTCCCTTGCGGGAAGAGGAAGGGGAGGCCGGGGCCTCCCCAGGGCAGGGAGCTAGCGGCAAGGCTGGAGCCGGGGAGGACCACGCACCAAGAAGAGGCCAAGGCAGCTCTCGGTAGAAATACAAATTTATTCTCTTTCCAGAGCAGACATGGAGAGAAGCAGCGAGGAGAGCGGCGCCGCAGCCCCTGGGTCCCCGCACACCAGTCTGCTCGCCCCTGCCCCAATGCTCCTTCCCGAGCGCCCACGGACCCCGCGGAGCCGGCCTGGTTCTCACACCAGAGCCCAGCTCCTCCGTCCCCACCAGCCCCACGGGGACTGGCATCTTGGCCCTCTCGACCCTATAGCACCTGACTCTGCAGCTTTCTCGACATAACGCAGCCCTACTCGGCAGCCTGGGGGTCCGGGACCCACCAAGGCCCGGACCCGTCCCCTCTGCTCCGCTCCTGCATCCAGCCCAACATCGGAGGAGCGGGGCACATAAAGCCGGGGTAAGAGGGGCTCCAGGGGGGATGGAGCAGGGAGGACAGGCTCTCTGTGCCCTGCTCCCCGCAAAACCCAGCGGGACCAAGACCCCCTCCGGCATCCCTGCTCCGAGCGGGGACGGCGCTTCCAGGAGCGCGTGTTGGGCTGGACTGAAACAGCCAAGTGCAAGTGCCGCTTCACACGGTGTTAGAATGATTGAGTTAGTCCATGAGAATATTTATGTACAGAATATATATATATATTTATATATATATATAATATAGAAATATATGCAAATTAAATGGTAAGGCTCCGTTATAAAGCTCCTCTCCAGATAAGGCTACTAGCTGGGCTGAAGCTCAGAGGGGGACTCCTCCCAACCCCGTATCCCTCGGAAACGCTCCCCGCTGCACGGCCTGAGCAGCCCTGAGCCCTGGGGTCCATAAAGCCGGTAGTTGGATGGTGTTAAAAAGAGTTTAAAGCCCGTGGAGCTGTTGGGGGGCTGCAGGAGTGTTATGGTGCCCACGAACCTGGGCGGCACCAGGCAGAACCCGAGCAGAGGAGGGTGCCTATATCTGTGTCCCCCACAAGAGCGGAGCAGGACGGGGGCTTCCACAGCGTCGACTTTCTTGCCAACCGTTTTGGGCAGCCCAGGGGAGTCCAAGCCTGGATGCTCCCTATGGCAGAGCGCAGAGGAGCCCGCAGTCCCGCTCCCACACGGCCGACGTTGCCCTGAGACCTCCTGGCGCTGGCAGGGGGGGCGCGGGGCCGGCCCCAGGAGCATGGCATGGCATTAGGAGGGAGGACGGGGAGCAGCCAGGCAGCTGGTTAGAGAAAGGCTCTGGCTGGCAGAAGGTGTTAGATAAGGGAGGTCATACCTGGAAGAGAAACGGAGAGGTCGGGAGAGGGATACGTGGGGCCGCCAGGTTAGAATAGGCACGTTAAGGGATGCGGAAAGTGGGCAAGGATGGATGCACGAGCAGGGAAGCTTTGACACCGTGGTAGTGCAAGGTCTCCCTTGTGCATGCACGGGTCAGGGAGAGGCAAGCAGAGAGCTCTGCCCTGCGGCTGCGGAAAGCAAATCCCATGCAGGAAGCATGGGGCCGTTCACACGAGCATCCCCCAGGCATAATCCTGCTGGGAAGAGCCATCCATGAGCAGCGAGGAGGGCTTGCACCAGTCCTGCAGCTTGGCCAGGGATCTGCTGCCTTCACCTTCCTGCAGGAGCAGGATCCAGGCAGGATGACAGTCCAGTCTGGGTAGCTCTTGGCTTCTCACAGCGGGAGAAGCCCTCGTCCTCTCCGCACCCGTCCCGGACACCGGAGCTCGGGGCCGTGGGCGCCATCACAGGGCAGCAGGGATCGGGGCTGGGATCTGCAGAGGGGACAACCTCACCGGAGGGAGCAGTAGGAGGCCAGCGAGGGGGACTTCACTCGAGTACCTCGGGAGTTGGGGAAGGCGCTGCGCAGCTTCTCCATGATATCCTCCAGGCACACGCTGACGTCCTGGGCCTTGGCCTCCACCTCGTCTGCGGCAGGGAGAGAGGGCAGAGCTGGAGGTAGCAGCTCTCCGGGCACGCGGAGCTGCTGGGGTCCCCCTGGAGCAGCCGGACTAAGGAAGCGAGGCGGAGAGCTCCAGGCCTCACCTGCAGCCTCCGTGTCGGGGGTGTTGTGCTCCTGCTCCTTCACCTGGCTGCCCTCCGACTGCTGCGGGGACGAAGCCAAGGAGGAAGGTGCCGAACCGTTGCCTTCCGACTCTGCTGGAGGCTGCAAAGAGAAGAGGGTTGACACCGTCTTCTTGTCCCGGGCCATCCCATGGCAAAGCCCACGCCAGGGACGTGCTCTGTCCCATCCGCACTCTGCGGTACCTGCAGCAGCAGCTCCCGCAGCCGGTGCAGCTGGGACTCCAGCTGCTTGTTGTGGTCCTCCAGGATCTGCATGCGGGTCTCCAGGCGGCTCTTGTGCTGCCGGAGGATTCGCGCTTCCGCCAGGAGCTCGTCGTTATGCGGATCTTGTGCTGATTCAGGGGAGCCCGCGGCCAAGCTCGGGCACTCCACGGCCTCATCGTGCTGCCATTTCAAACGCCTCAGCTCTCCCTGGAGAATCCTGCAAGACCAATGCTCAGGTCAGTGCCACCACCCTGGAACCTCCCATGTCCTGGGAATGGCCAGTGGCTCAGAGATTTACCTCAAAGTGTGGGGGAACCTACACCCTCCTAGACTCTGTCCTGCACTGTAGGGTGGTCTGCATCTGTACCCCACTTGGGTATGTGAAACACATGCAAATTACCCACTAATGGACTGGAAAGAAGGACAAGGAGAGCAGGAACCTACTGCTGCCTCACTCCACATAGTCCACAGTAGCACTACCACTGTGTGTGAGGGAGCCTGGGCATTCAGGAGATGGAAACGCCTTGGGTTCAGTTCAGCCAGCTTTGGGTTTAAGAGGGGAACACATTCTGGGAAGGGGACAGAAACATTTTGGGCAATTAGAGTCTACTCCCTTCCTTGAAGAACATGCCCTCACTGAGCCTCATGCTCTCACACAGGTTTATTAGGGTTCAGCCTAGATATCCATGCCCTCACTGAGCCTCATGCTCTCATTTATTAGGGTTCAGCCTAGATATACCGCTCAGCTCTTCCCAACTGTGCCTTGGAGCTCTGCCCTTTTGGCTAAGCCCAGGTTTCTCCATCTCCTTCTCCTTAGACCCAAGACCCCACTTTGAGAGTTGCCCATGTTCCTACCTGTTTTCATCCTCTAGGTGGGCCAGGATCCGCTCCAGTTCACCCTTGTCCTCCGTGCTGAGGCTGCCCGGGACGTGCTGGCCGCTCGCGGGCTCCCTGTCCGTGATGGGGCTGGAGTGGCGCAGCAGGAACTGCTCCTCATCCCTGGCACAGCAGGCAGAGCAACGCGTTAGGAGCATCGCTCACAGCCCTTGGGGAAGGGCAGCCCAGGGGCAGGTGGATTTTTATAGCTATTCATTCTGGCTGCCCTGTATAGAGCTCAGAAGCCACTCAGCACCCCTGGCGTGCTGGGGGTGCCCATGAGCGTCACCCCCAAAGTGAAGGATAGGGGAGTATGGCTGTGCCCTGGGCAGGGAGGAGGGAGCCACAGAGGCACCGCAGAGCAGGGAAGGAGGCAGGACTCACAGGCTGTCATCAGGGGACAGGCTGTCATTAAAGAAGGAACAGTTCTGGCTTTCCATCTCCGCAAGCCTGGAGGAAATAAAAACAGGTTAAGACACGTTCAGAGACACCCTAAGTGTCTGCCCAACACACGTTGGCTGGGGCAGTCCCTGCGAGGGCCATCCTGGGAGACCTCTCCCTGCTGCCCGCACTACTCTGTCCATCTTTACAGATCCTTACAGAGTTTTGCCCCTTCAGAAAACAAAAAATACTGCTGATCCCAAGCAAGTGTGAGGAACAAAGACTGCCATGCAGTGGTTTGTCCATCTCTGTAGGTGGATACGGCCCTTTTCCCAAGCTGCTGGGTCCAGCAGTGCTAGGGGAAGCTTGGCAGGGGCTGCACACAGCAGCAGGGGGTCCCTGTGTAGCCTCCCAGCACCCTTGGAGCCGTGTCCCCAGCCCGGAGGTGATACCTGCTTGCAAAGTGCTCAATCCGGGAGTGGGTGTCAGCGTGTGGCAGCATCGGGGACGAGGCTGGTCTGGAAGAGACGCGCACAGGTGAGCAAGGCTTTGCAGTCCTCGCTTAAAGCTAGGGGCTGGAGAGGCTGCCTGGGTCCCACCTGGGCTGAGAAGAGCCAGGGACAGGCTGGAGAAGGAGACGGAAACATCCTCCAAGACGAGGATGCTGCATTAGCTCCCAGGGCAAGGTACCCTCTCTAGCCTTCCCCATGGGAGCCCTGTTTGCATCCGAGACACTGTCCCCTCCTGTGGAGCCCACGCCAGGCACGGGGCCCAGCCAGCACTCACGTCTCTGAGAAGTCGGCCTCCAGCACGGACTGGACGGGCAGGTAGCCCCTCTGCGGGTGCTTGCTGAAGTACTGCTTGGATCGAAACTTGTTCTTCAGGGTTGTGGCAAAGTCCCTCATGTTCTCACTGGATGTGGTCTGCAGGGAAACAAATACACATGGTTGACAAAAAGCAAGGGATCATGAGCCGGTATCCCCCCAAAAGAGGTTCCTTGAGCTAGTTGCAAGCTGAGCAGAGGAAGAGGCAGTTCCCCCAAGCAGACTCAAAGAGGCAAGGGGAGCAGATGGCACGGGCCAAGTGCTTGAGGGATCAGGGCATCCCGCTCACCACGAGCCCTAAAGTGATTCCCTGCATGCAGAGAGGAGTGCAAAGCACAAGGGAGCCACTTCCATGGATGCACCAGCCTGAGCTCTGCGAGGTTGGAGGTATCCGATGGGCCCTGCCTAGAGCCAAGGCTATTCTGGGCCGGCCCGGTTCCTCACCGGGGTGTAGTACTCCATGATGGGGTAGTGCAGCTTGTTGCCCTTGCTGGCTCGTCCCGTGAGGAAGCAGGTCTGGCAGATATCCACGTTGAACTGCTTCAGGCTCCGATACCTGGGGAGACGGAGAGGCCATTGGTAGGCAACAGGAGTCAGCAAAGCTGTCACTGCAGAGCTCCAGGAGAGCTCAGTGCCGGGGACGGAGGTGACATGGGGGATATCAGTCCCGTGAGGAAGCAGGTCTGGCAGATATCCACGTTGAACTGCTTCAGGCTCCGATACCTGGGGAGATGGAGAGGCTGTTGGTAAGCGATGGGAGTCAGCAAAGATGTCACTGCAGAGCCCAGGAGAGCTCAGTGCTGGGGATGGGGGTGACATGGGGGATATCGTGTCCCACTGAACCCACAGAGATGATTACTGATGATTCCAGAAGAGCACGAGGCTCCTTCCCTTCTCCCTGCACCACCAGGAGAGCGGCTCTGCCCTGCCTGCAATGCTGCTGCAGAGCTCGAGGCTTCTCCAGCCGCACGGTGCAAACCCCGTTCCCTTCCAGACTGTGACGAGGAGCCGTTTCTGCACCCCC